ATATTCCGTAGGTGTTGTTAAACCATTCCGCCTCAGATGACGTCAAGGAGATCGACAACGAAAAACGAACTGATTCGTATTCTTTCAGTTATGGGTCTGGGATTTCTGCACTAACGGTTCACAGGAGAGGCATTTTAAAAACCATCGGGCTAACTGATTCCTATAAAACTAGCGGCCAGCTAAAAACTTTTCCAGAATTTTAGGCTTCACATGTAACTCGAAGGAGCCGAAATTCCCTTTTAGTTGTATTCCTTGTCTCCATAAAGTATACTAAAATTCCCTTGTAAATGAGTTCGCAAAACCTCTTTTCAAAGATTTTTCAATCTTCTCATGCATAACGGCATTTGTGGGAAAAGGTGACTCCAAGGACCAGCTCCTCCATCGGTAATATTCATAAGTTACTTGGTAGTGAAACAGTATTTGCTCTATGATGCAGCTGGCTTCTAGGTGTGATTGTTCGCTGCCGTCTTTTATGGCATAGTGGCTTTAGCCGCTTGCTTATGACGCAAACCGCTATTGGTCATGTGTTCGGATACTGGTGCATCCGGCGAAGGCACACCACTGAGGAGTCCAGTTATGAGGAAAGGAGCACCAGCACCTTCCTGGATAAGTGCTTGACCATCTGATTCTGCCTAGTAATAATGAGATGTTGCGCAGATAATGGGGTGCACACAACCCATTCCACTGTAGCTGTCTACTAAATACATGAAATTATGGATTTGATAAGTTTAAGAGTTTGGCCATGGTCATTCGGTTGGACTGCTATACCTGCGGACTTTCCGCTGACTTTATCTATCGTATGTGAAGCCATCACTATCTTCCACTGGGTGTGAGATAGAGGGCAATAACATACCAGCACTGATAGCTCATCAGTGACAGCGGATTGCTCCGAAACGCGGAATTAAAATGTCCATGAATATTGGGTTGAACCAAATTTTGACCCAAGTAACCTACGGGGAAATGATCCCGATCCACCAACCTTTTAAATCTAAAACGTCTACTTTCTACACTGCGTAAGTGAGAACCAGGGTAGACGCTGGCAACATGATAGCAGGTTAAAAGTTGCACTGTCCACTGGCAGCCGCTTCTTAGAACTTCATTTTGGACAACAAGTTTGGGAATATTTTCTGCTGGCTTTCTTTGTAGACACAACTTAAGTCAACTTCATTCATCATGAAGAAGGCTTATTTCGGAAACGCACCTAGATACTTTGAAGTTCCGCCATTATCTGCCTTATTATATTGGATGAAGTTGGTAATTTCGCAAGTGTTTTATCGCTTTCTGTTAACAATTTGGGAACGAATACAACTGTCGTGAACTATCAAAATTCTTTCGGTTTCGATAAATGTGTTCACATTTTGCAGCCGTTCTGCGTAAACTCCTAGATAAAGCTGCCATTCCCTTTGCGGTATATAACGCTGCGATTTAAATACTCCATTTTTTCTAAGCTATACATCCAACATACTGGCGCATCGTTTCGTAACTGGACTGCACAAGTTACAACAAATATCAGATGTGCCAAAATGTGCCAACTATGAAGGATGTTGGTTCCATGCTTAGCGTTGGATGGTGTGCGGTCGCGATGAAATATATGACCCATGGATTCTGGACAGCAACATATTGGAACTTATCAAGCAATTTATGATAGACAGTCAAAAATACACCCTATCCTGGTGTAAAATTAATGCTCTACTAAAGAGACACACTGGGAATTTATCAAAATTCAAATAAGGATGAGTTAAAGAGCAGTGATATCCCCCAAAGATGACTATCCCACGGCTTTATCATTATTCCTGAATTACCATATAACTGACGCAGACAAGTCTAAAGTTATCTGGCGACAAAATGTAACGGCTCATGAAAGAAGATTTAACATAGGGTTAAAACAATTAAATCTTGCAGTATAAAGATCTAACTGAGTAAATCAATAGTAAACAGCAGGCTTAACTCGGGTTCACCAAGTTGGATATGATAGTCCCGACAATTTGGTAAAATTTTCTCTGTGGTTTCATATAGTGCTCTTGATGGTGGCCGCCCCTATAGGATAGTCTACCAGAATTTCTCAACTCCTTAGCCAGTAAGTTGAGTGTGTTGATCTACCGATTGTAAATACTGTAATTTTGTAGATCATAGTCAAAATAGAAAATAAGCAATATAGTTCTGCAATTTTGTTATTTATTTTAGAAAATAAAATGCATGGTCATAATGAGGAGCAGAATTTGCCCACGGTCTTTTCCAGAAATTACCTTGGAAGTACGTTAACAGGGAGGATGTCGATAGTACCTCAGCAATGTAAAAGAGAGCAGCTTTGATAAAATATAGAAACTCTTGGAATGTGTAGCAGTCCGGAACTAAAGTTATTAGGTGGAAATCGAAAAGTTCGTCCATTATGTTGAAGAAGGAAGGATGATTTGGAGAATCAACAGGTAATTTCAACTCTACACTTGCCGTTAAGATAAATAACAGTTCTTCAATAAGAAGGCGAAATATTTCGCTCCGACAAATGATTGTGAATGTCGACGAATAGATCGCATCATCACTTATTATAACAACTATCTATTCTGGGTTAGATTCCTACTAATAGGATAAATACTATCCTAAATGGCATCCTGTACATGAGCGGCCCAGCTCAGTTGATTCATTATGGCCACCAACTTCCCTGCAGTAAGTTCAGCAAAAAGAAGACATAATTATAATAACTGATCATATTTCACCGATTTTGTTTTTTTATAATCCCAGTTTTAACCGCACTGTTAGCTGCTACGCAACTGTTCAGAAAGCATTGTTCGTATCTATTCATATTTCCGACCTGAGTCCAAAGATATAGGAGGCAATAAAATATGTTTGTTGATTTTTTAATTCCTTGATTTGGTTTTTGATAGCAGAATATTGGTGGATCATCTGAGCACCTAACCAGATCAGCGGTTGTTCTATTCCAAACTTTGGGCTACTGTTGGCGTCAAGATCAAATCGTATAACATAGTGCTGGACACATTAATAGATACAACGGGAACTAGACCCGATAAACAGCTTGTCAAATCGGCAGCTTTCAAGTCAAAACCGAGTTGCCGACTACAGTTGCACGCTTTAAACTTATTGTCAGCTCGGTCAAATTTTCTATGGAGGTAGGTTAGCAGGCATGCAACAAACGGATAAGCAACCAGTCAGGCTATCACAACTGGAAAAATAATAGCTTAACCAGCAGCGCTGTGTATTTGTATTAGACGGACAAAATTCAAAGGCCTTTGCTTCACGCAGATTTTGCAACAATAAAAATGATTTGCCAAAACCCACTTGTTATTTCTGCGCTTGTAGTTTTACCATAATGTCAAGGTTAATTCATGCTGGATGGTATTTGGTATTTCATTTGGTATTTCATTATTGATCGCTGTTCAGGAGTTGCGTTAAACGATGCGGAGCGATGCTCGCGTTTTCTTACATTACTTGATCAAATATAGCAGTGAAAGCTTTTGTTGTAAGTGTGCATGGTTTGTACCTGTCTTCATAAGGTCGCTCTTATGAAGTACAGTAAGGCCAGGTGACCGCTGATAAATGCCGTCTTTACTGTGAGCAAATCAATCTTCAGTAAATTTTATTCTACCACGAATTTTGTAACCATATTACCCAGCCACATAAAAACAATCAGCGTGTGTTGTCAAATTACTTTTCTTCCCAAAAGTTTCCAACTGTTCTGAGATCTCTTATCTTTGTTTGATTACAGCGCTGAGCTGTTTCAATGGATCATCTGAATTGATGTCGTTAAACTCTGTCCTTACACCGAGAAGTGGCTCAGTTTTTCATCAATCAAACCGTAGATACTTTGAATACTTAAATCAAATATGTGTACCATTGTCTACGCTAATCAATTCCAATCAAGTTTATTCACAATTTTACGCCTTGACCAGCAGAGAATAGTTTATTGACTGTTAGATTAGGCTCAGTATATTAGTCCAATATTGGTCGTTTCCTTCTTCCTTGCTATTTGATGGAACTCCTAGACATCATTCTTGTGACGGTATGCGATCTAGTAACTTCAGATAGGAAGAAGGGACTCTTTCAGCTTGCTGTAATCGCAATTTAAGTTTGACCTAGCTGCAATACCCATTTGGAATATGAACATCATGGGCCATCATTAAGCCTTTTTGATGTGGACATATCACTCTGAGAATTGTGATGCTCCTTGGAGAGCAAAAGTCGCAATAAAATAATTTGCAGCTCATATCAAACAGCAACTGGAGCCAAGTCCCTCTGTTATCCTTAGAAGTTGCTTACTACGAGAGAGAATGAACTGCTACAGAATAAACTCTTATTTCTGTTGGAAGCACTTAGATACACATATCTATCTGCTAAATCTATAGACTTTGCAAACCAAGTAGTTTGGAAAATTTGCGACATAAGTTTCCCTTTATGAAGAAACTATTTGTAGGGTGAGGAGCTGTAGCATTAGCGAATGTTGGATCCATTAATCTCATGCCTTCAATCTAATAAATATTAATCCGGTATGCGGATTGTCGCTGCTAACTCTTTCTTATATTTTGGTTAACACGACACATGAATTGAGGCAGTAGTTTCACACATACCTGATCATTCGAGACAGTAATTTAATGCAAATACTGGCAAATAACGGCATTCAGTTAAAATAAAGTACAAAATCACTGATATTTCGAGCCGATACGTTCTTTGCTGGGTGAGTTAAGCTGTCACACTGTATTTTAGACGGCTACGCACACAGTCAAAGGCCACAAACGTAAACTATTGTGGCGAGAAATCAAAGTATAAAGACAATATTGGAAAACGTTCCAATGTGCCCAGGACAATCATGTTCGTTATGCCAAATTTTGCACACCTAGGTTTGTTAATAGAATAAAACTCTCACGTGCTTGAGTTTGGCAAGCACGCAAACATCAGGAATTTCGGTTATCTTATAGCGAACCAAGAGCAATAGGATGCTTTCAGAATGTTGTGTGTTAAAACGCTACGTTGAGTTCAGCTGATGGTCACTTGCCTGTGTGTGCATGCATGACCAGTGGTTTGACGTTAAAGCGACCAATCAGATTACGTTGACTCGGTGAGTCTTTCGTTTGAGATCAAGTGCATGGTTATTTTGTTCAGACCGTCATTCACAAAGTTGCGTCAAGAATGAGCGTGATTGTTGCGGCGTTCTGTCTGTTATACACATTACTTCCTTGTGTTCAAATGGTGACATTGGAAGAAGGATTGGAAAATCCATCGAAATACATTAAATACGACACCAGCACCTTCAACATTGGCATGCACGCTGGTTTGTCATTACTGATCACCTACTGTATACTCGCGTCGGTCATCTCTTTCATCGTTATTGTGTCAAGGGCCTTGGGATACAAGAAAAAGAAAAAAGCAGCATAACCACCGTAAGTTCCGAATATACCATAAACTGTATATATACCATGTCGCCATCTATTACATGTGCTTGCGAAAAACTGGACAATTCAGGTCGAATTTCTGCGATAAACGGTAAGGGATGCAGAAAACCCATGTATCGTCGATGTCATAGATAGTGGGAATCTGATGGTAAAGCCGACAGATGTGACACTCAGCCCGAACGATTCTGTCTATAGGTTAGCTAGTATGGTCCTCACTAGCTATTCATGAGGTGACATTCAATGACAAGTGACAAGGACCAGTGGCTGTCAACCGACCCATAACCTCCCAACTTGAGAACTCATAAAGCCGTGTCGACCGGGTCACCTTAAAATTTCAACATAGATGTCGAAACCGGTAATTGGATACATTCACAATTACCGTTGAGAACCTCCTTTGAATTACTCATGCAGCCTAGTTAACAAAGAGCTGTAGTAATTCTGCACAATGTGCTAGGTTTTACAGGCCAGTATGATAATGTTCCATGTTAGTCGATAAATAAAGTAACTCTAAAGATTAGGTGATTTAAGCGTAGTGATTTCGGCTAGCATCTCAAAGGCCTTGGGTCCGAGCACCTGAAAACTCGACCGGAAGAAGGCACTCGTAGAGCGTATTGTTTTCAGAAGCGTAACAGGCAAATTTCGTCTGCTTCAGCAGGTAACGTTCCAAGTATTAGCTGTGACCAGGGTTCACTTCCTTGCGAATCGTAATCCACATTTAGATTTAGGTCACAATCCGAACACACAACGAGTGTCTCAAAATGACGCTTCAAAATCCAAGAGCCGTATAATAATGTCGCCAGTCACAAATCGAGTCAGCTGTCCTACTGTTGATCTATCGCTCAACTAGCCAAGACACTAGTTTACTTCGAACCATTATAAACTGTATGTTTTTACCTAATACCAGGAGCTGTTACCATCTACTGGATGGACCATGTTTACACAAACTACTCATGCATTCTCGCAAGGTGATTCCATGTCGGCATCTACGTTGAATTCAGTCAATTCACATCTGCGTCGAAGGTCGACAACAGACAAGATACTGCTTGTTGCTTTGGATCTGCCTGTGTTGTTGTTCAGAGCAAACGCCAGGATAAGAAATGCAACATACAAGCAATCACCAGTCGTAACAACCGTTCCCATTTAAACCACAGTAGGAGCCCAATCTATCAAACCATAAAATACTTACTGAAGCACTACTATGGAACGCCGGCTTACTCAGATGAAAGCATTCAACCAGAAAACAGGCCACCCACTTTACGCATTTTATCTACAAGAATTTCGAAATAGAAGATCCATGGAAACCGACCAGTTCATCATCGGTTTCTAGGCTCAGTGTGCTTTCTTTGCGTCCCCATAAAGGTTTCTGCTATTGGACAAATGTGGATTTCCAAAGTGTGTCATTTTGTCCGTTAGCGGCTTTACCACTAGACCGGATGCACTTGTTTGTTAAGATACAAAGGAATGGCGCATTCAGATTCTTCTCGAGACATTTATTAATTGAACAGCCCTGTGCGCTGGCGACATACCGTGAGCAAGTACCGATGGTGGCTGCACCATGGTAACAATATCGACCTGTGTGCGTCCCATGCGTTGAAAAGCGGCAGTATTCCAACACATGATGGTGCAGTGATGTGGGTTTTGGAATTAAGAAGTGTGAACAACATTTTAAGTTACTCATGTCAAACATACATTTTAAAAATATAATCTCTATTTAGATGTGTAGTTAAGAGAGAAGCTCTTAATGACCGGCTGTCAATAAAGAGGCAGCCAAACCGACCTTACTGCAATTCACCATCTGCACAAGTTGCTCAGTTATTTTTGTACAGGCTACCCTGGACCATGATAAACGTAAAAACTATCCTAAACCTAATCAACAATGTAAGACAATGCAGCCTTTAGCGACTCATATACGAATGCTGCAACCTGATTACTCTTGTCTTTAGTAGATGCATACCTAGATAGCATGAATAATGAAAAGCTTCCCAGACACTGCGTAAAATGGGACGGACATTGTTGATCTGATTAGCTGCTACAAAAAAGGGGACGGCATCACATAATCTCTATGTATCTAGTTATTGTGGTACTGAATGCGGACACAAATACATATTTTGCCTTTAATATTCAGTCGGAAGGATTTACTGAAGTCTATGGGAGGGCGACATTTATTTTGCATGCACCATTGTAGTAGGTTTGAAAGCATCTGTGAAAGTCCAAAAGAGATTGCTTCGGATTATAAAGACGGTTGTTGGTTCCGCTTTCGGTCATTTTGCTTTGCTTTTACCATACTGTTTAGTGAGCCATTCAATTCATCTCAGATTCAATCCCTTCTGGATAGCATCCGTCTGCTTAGACGTTGTTAGCCAGACGCCTTCTTTTTAGATCTTTTTCCTAATAAGTGGTTTTCATATTGGCATGGAACCACCTTCAAATAATTTGTTTTGCTTTCGAAGCCCATCGGTTTCTTTTGACCGACCATGTGTGACACACGCATAGGAATATTGAAACCAGAGCCAGTACAAGCGGGCGACTTACGCTTCTTTCCTCACTAAATACCCAAAACTGAAAACTGAGTATAAGGAGCTAGCAAATACATGTTAGTGTTATTTCATCATTGGGCACTTGCGCGGGATCACGTTACCGATTCCTGCGCGTTTGTAGCAGTTTACAGCTGTGCCATATGTTACTTGGATGCGATGCGCTCCCTGAATCCGATTTTGTAAACTGAGTGGCCAGGAATTACTGGGATTCCGACAGAGATTTCGCGTCGACCATCTTTTGGGACAAACCTTCCTAATGTTTTACCAATCGCCGTTTGAACGTAAGAGACTGAGTTATCCGCTTTAGCTGTGTTACCCCAAGCATGTATTGGAGACCTGGCGTATGTGCAACTGTGACCTAAATACAATATCCGGAGTGTCATTAGGAACTTCATTCGAAGACCATGGTACGACAAGGTGTACAGCCTTAGTCTTCTGCTTCCATCTTTATAAGACACCCATGATTTGCGGATGAGTCTGTCTGTTACATGCTGAACACATTCCAGTCTCTTTACCTCGCTACTAGTGCTCGAACATTTGGCTGGTGCTCCGTATTCGCTCATCGGTCTTATGATGGAAGAGGCGAGTGTTGATCTCTTTATACTAAGTGCCAAAGCTACGTTTAAGCGCCCAAAGCATGCGCTGTCCGTTTCCATATAGCTTGCTCGTGATATCAAATTGTTTCTAATTGCGGAGTGACAGTACGCCTAGATCCTTTACGGAAGTTGTGGGATGTAGTGGCTGCTCGGCTAATGTGCACGTACGCCCAGCACCACCTGTCCCTAGGGTCATATAAAAGACTTGACTGGGCTGACCGACAGACCTATCTCGGGGGACCAAATGGACAGGCGGTCGGGGTCATGCGGAAGCACGTCGCAGTCGTCCGCAATCAAAGCAAAACGCGGCCGAAAAGCCGAGGTATTTCACTGATGTAGATCAGGGACAAATTGGCCCTAGCACTGTGACTTCGGGTATCCTGCTGTTGGAGGGACACCAGTAGGTTATATGGTAATCCAGCTGTACCCTCCATATTTGCTCAATGAGTAAGTCACTGATCCAGCAGTGCAGTGAGCTTCCAACCCCACATATTCTCAGCTTGATGAGGAGGAGCAAAGGTTGCAGTTTGTCGAACGTTTTCTGGTTTCATTATAGATCACATCCATCAATCTCCCCCGGTTGAACTCTTGCGACCATTCATGTCACGTCAACAGCAGGTTGATGATGCAGGAGTAGTGCTTTATGAAGCCCTGCTGTAAGTGCTCCAGACAGTTTTCTTGACTCCAGGTTGCTTTCTACATACCTCCAAATCGTTGCCATCGAGCCAACTGGCCATCGTCTGTGTCGAACCAAGGTAACTTCACCACCTCAGCTTTCCGGTGTGGGGTGCGAATCCGGTGGCCAGGAATTTCAGACCCTCTTTTATAACCGAACAGCAGGCTTCAACAAATTAATCCTGTATCAGGGACCAGTTTCCTTGACTAACGGATCAAGTGAGGCCATCGAGGTCCTTCTACGATTGCAAAAGCGGACGAAGGTACGGAACCGTAAGCCCAGGGCTGGGCATTCAAATGCCTAATCGCTGCTAGTTTTGAGGAGCCGGACATCACGCACAAGCTGTTCGTATCTGGTCAACACCAGGTCCAGACAAGACAGTTTTAAATGCGCGTCGGCTGACAGATGTTTTGTGCTACCCCGTTTCGAATTTCATCTCAGTAAACACTGACTCGACTTCACAAACCCCCTGGGATAAGATGAACCTTTAGGCCCACGTATTCGAGGGAAGTTAAAGTCACCCACGAGAAAGAAGGGGGAACGGCTCTTGTGGTTTCGGACATGCGAAAACTAGTTAGAACAGCAACTTCGGGGAACGCGATAGGCTACGCCAACCAACAACACGGTGGGTCGTACACAATAATTGCTCGCACAGACCAGCTCCATTTCGGTAGGTGCTTACCAGCCGTCCGTAAAACGAGCAGTGAAGGTATAGCAGCACAGTACCGCGACTGTTTGGTAATGTGTTGCACCGGAACCACGAGTAGATCCCGATCTGCAATTTCTGGGTGGTTATCTCAAGACTCCACGACGTCTCAGTACGTCTGGCCGACGAGAGGAAATGAACTAGCACCCATCGTCACATTTGTCCCGTTTGTCCCTACATTCTTTTCCCAAAAAGCTTAACGCTTACGTGAGACTACACGTTGAATACGCCATTCAGGTGTGGCACCAGTTGCAAAACCATAACCTAACTGCTCCTGAGAAGTCAAAACGGAGGGCGACAAACATGTTAAGAGAATGTTCAACCTCCCTTGCCAGCTGAGATTGAAGACAATAATAGTTTTTACGGAACAGCATCCTTTACTTTGAGGAGTATCAGATTCGTAAGGACTCTAACCACCTATACCGACGGTTATTGAAACAGTCACGACACCTCACTTAGAGACCACCATTTGAGGTTGGCGACACAGTACAGCCGGTTGCAATGCCACCGGAACTTTTACTCATTTTGGGTATCTAAGCAGTGAAATTTACTTCCGCAATTTGTCATATCTGCTCATCCGTTGTCCGATTGCCAAAATCGACTTGATGAGACATTACACCACCTGCACTACATGGAGTAATCCAGGTTGCTGGGAGACTTGACAAAGTAAGCTAACAATGTGTATGCACTAGAAATTGGCAGTGAGTCCACTGCTTCGCGTTTTTATATATTTTGTTAAACTTTCTGTTAAACCTTGCTTTTATATCCGTGCTAAATTCAGTGTTCCAGTGTTTGTCCATTAAACTGCAAAATTAGTGATGACTGTGCGCAAACCAAGGTTGGAACCGTTGGTCCTACAAGAAGCGCCATCGAATCTTTGATCAGGGTTCTAGGAAGTAGGGTTACTAACTGAAAATTGACAGGATCGAGATCATGACACCCTCGGTTTTACTCGTATTTCAAACCTGCTCCCACCAACATTGTACAATACACCACCCAGAGGAAATAACAGATAGCTCAAGTGCTGTTCTGAAGCAAAGCTTCCATCAAGTTCTATGCACGAGACAGGTGATTACATGGCAAGGATTTTCTAATCTGGGCACGAAAAGTGTGCCACAATTTCTTCCAATTACCTAGTACAAAGTTCGCTACCGGTGTTTCTGATTTGCTCGAATTAGGTCAACAGATAAAGAGGAAAGAACGTAAGAGTTTCACTGTATCGCTTCCAAGAAAAATACAAGTTGTTGTTAGAATCAGCTCATGTATCTTCAGTTGGCATTACTTTTAGATAAAAGCATCCGAAGCGCGATTACTGTAGGCCAATATACATCATCTTCACTGAGAGCTGCGTGTTAGTTTATGATAACACTTATTCTACTGTTTCGTAGGAACACATTTTGTTGTTGTTTAGTTAATGCTTCAAAAGTTTTGGCTCACTGAGTAAACCGTTCAGTTTCCGTAAACTGGATTCTACGTGCCCATCGGTGGTGTGCTATTTGTATTACGACTAAAATAAAATTATTTTCCGCAATGTTGATTACGCCATCATTTTCGAAATATTTTATCGTTGTTTTTCTTGCGTTCTAGGGAACAGGATTAACTTGGACAAATCTTATCCCCTCGGTCCTATTCGTGTCTGCCCAACGAGCTGTGCTAGTTATTCCCTATCTCCCCAATGCTCAAACGTTGTGACTAAATGACTAGATCCACATTACATGGAATTGTTACTTTGTGTACTTCATTCGGTAGCTGAGGTGCATCTCATTCTGTCCATGAAAAACTTTTTACGAGTAGCAACCATGCGTCTTCAGTGTAGAGTCGAAGTAAACCTTTGTCGGAGGTACATCGCGAATAACCTAAACAGTGCAAAGGACCTATTGAACCGTTGGCTCAGTTGTATGCAGCTTTAACTTGTCTGAACTTAATTGGCTGCAACGGACATGAGAATATATTCCGCGCCGAGTGGTAGAATGTACTTGACCTTCCCTTCAAAAAGTTGCTTTGTATCAAGCCGAAATAAAGAAAACGGCTCTTTGCAACCCGAATTTTCACAGTAACCTAAATTTGTTACCAGTTATTAAAGAATGATGTCCAGACCAAATACTTCATCAAAATTTCAAACAGCGTGCCTCCTTTAACCAACTAGCAACGCCGAAACAAGAAAGAGATCGCAATATGTCAACAGTTCGACGGCTGTCGTCAGTCATAGACGCAACAATTACATAAGTTAGACTAATATGCATTCGCGAAAGGCGTTTACAAACAACGTGCATTAAGTTTCCAGAACCATGGTAATCTAACGGTTCTTAGTCATCAAAAGCTGATCACCATCTTCAACGTATTCGGATTGCTGTCAAACAGGAGTAGTTCGAAAATGTTCTGTGCGTCCACTTGGTGACAAGCATTCACGAAGTGTTTGCGGCAGACGATCAGGAGTCCACTTTACCAATTGATACACTCCATCTTGTTGTACCATCAACTATCTTAGTCAACTTAACTGTGTTTGGTCACCGTTTGAGTCCGCCGACGTAAATTCACCCTGCAACTGCAGGAGAACAGGTGGAAAATTTGGGTGGCCAGACTGTCGAACAGACTTCTCGGATGTGGGTGATGAACTAGCCTTCGTGTGGTGTGAACGGATCACAAATAGTTGGTTGTGTAAGTGTCTAATGTCGCTTGCCATGTGGTTGACTACGAAAGTCAAGAACAAATACTCATTTCGTTTCTCATATTTGAACTGGTAGGTTCAATTTGGATAATCTGCTGTGAAATTGGATACCAATTTTACGGCACAGTCCAGTGTATGAACTTCTTTCCTGCTTTTAGAGTCTCCATGTTACAAATTCTGCTGGTCCCATAAAAGAGAGTTTTCATGAAGTCGAGTATGTATGTAGCCAGAATAGAGATAAAACAACGGAAGTATTGTTCAATCGCGGTCGCTAAAAGGTAGACAGCGGACTTCAAAGTAATTTCTGCTCATCTCTAGATGAATGCATTGATAAAAGAGAGACTGCCATTTTATTTCAGAATACACATTAATTTACATCTTACACTTTTGTGTTGTTACTAATACGAGCAGGCAAATGGTTAAACTGGTGCAATATTCTTCGGCTTTGATAAATTACTTGAGACTAGCAATGAAGTCCGGGCCAGGATTAAGCTGTCCATTTAAATCGTACCCAATGCTGTAAATGCTCATTTTCTGCGTAGACGATGAGGTATGTGTGAATTCCCCACCGCCAGCGTCATTTGGCAGAGAACAGAAGCATAAATACAAATTTTAAAAAAACTGAGCGTAACGAAGGCGCCAGCAGAGCTAACGGTCAGTATAATGAACAGTTGTGAACTAGCAGCTGTTTGGTGTTCAGCATATATATATATATATATATATAGTTGGTTGATGTAATGTTTTCCAGCAAGTAGTGCCGCTTGGTTGTTCATGACTGCTTACCTTTATATCTATCCTAATCGAGTTGATGTCACCTTAATACCAGCTTAAGTTAGCATTAGCACATAGCACTGGGACCCAGCACAAACAACGACAAAACTTGTTCATGTAAACCAGAACTGTTCATTGTTCCACAGTGGTATAGACTGTAAACAATAAGGTTTCCAATTTGTGCAGTCTGTGATACCTGTATACTGTTCGTAATATATAGCAGAATTCATAGTTATTGGAAGAATTTGGACCCAAGCAGTCATATACTATGAGTACATTTCGTCTAAGACTAGTTTTAAAGGTTGTTAATCATAAATTCTGTGTGAAATCTGAACACAAGTGCTGGAAACCGACGGACTTCGGTTAAAGAGGTTCCGTGGTAGTTTAACCCTATTCACTTTTACGGATGTTTTTAATTCGTATTTGAGATAGCACAGCGGTGCACCCACCAGAATCCTCGTGTCCATCAATCTTCGTGGAGTGCCAAAATATGTTCCTCGCTAATTATATGCTATTCTGTGAATCCAGTCCTTACTTCATTTCAGAAGTGACAGGAAATTTGTGAAATAGGATAGACTTGCAGGTTTCTGACCCCGGTCATTCAGTTACGGACAACCGTGTCCTACCAAATTGTTTGTCGGTACTAAATAAAACGCTGTTCAATAATACTGGAACATCTTCGCTAAAAGTAAGAGAGGTGCAACTAATGGTTTTTACCGCGATTAAACATGGATAGAGCCAAGCATACATTGTTAAGTATTGCGAATTTGCAGTGCAGCATAAACTGATCAACGCGAAGAGTGTGTCTTTTTAACATCCACATCAACCCTTGCCTCTTGCTTCCGCACATAATGTATGTTTCTACGTACGATGTAGTATTAATTACAAATATTTCGAAAATGACCTAGATACTTTTAAAAGTAATCATTTAACGAATTCAATTGCCAGCAGTTCATCCTTAAAAGTTATTCAGTTCTCCAAACAAGTAACACTTTCTAATACTGACAAATAATCTTCAAATACTTTTCAGTTAAAAACCGACAGATCTCAGCAGTCCATCAAAAAATTGGTGAAAACCAACCCGGTTGAAGTTATATTTTTCTCTGCTGCCATGAAATCCACTTTTTCCGTAGATGCTAATATCTTGTAAATTAATTAAGGGTAAAAACTGATCAAAGTTTGCATGTCGCAATGATTTACGTAGCAAACTATTTTGCAATACTTTCGAAAAACTTAAGGTACACAACAAGTTAGTGCAACAGCTTCACTCTTGTCACTGTTAAACATTAATCCTTTAATTACTTTCAACCAACATAGTATAGGCTCTTCGTGGTACGACAGTCACGCCAATTCATCATCCTCATTAGTTCGGTAGTCAACAATTTCGTTGTAGTCGCCAATTGACCGTTCCGCGTATAGAATTACTCAGATACGGGTGACCGTTCGATCAACCACCACATGCTTCAATTCATCTTCCAACCGCCTCGATGTGCAGCTAACTTACTTATGTTAAGGCTAAGTTCGAACGTACGCCCGCGCTAATTATGCAGTTTAGTGTTACATTGACGTAATCATTGTGAAGAATGAACTGACTGGCAACAGTGGGTGGACTTAGTTGAACATACTTGCCTCACAACTGTGGCTTAACGTTTTACTTATGGCAGACGAAACTACCCTCAACTTGTGTCTGCACACTAAGGAATTTATCAAACGATAGGTGACTGCATTCAACTTTTTGATTAGATCTACAAGGCACACACCCGTGATCATTCCAGTGGAAAAGTGTACATGCAGCTAATCAATTTACACTGCGCAAAAACGGCAACTAGTTTTTTCGAAGAATAGTCAATCTTAAACATGCAGATACTCTCCGAATTATTGGGTTAGGAGCTATTTTGCAGTCAATCTGATTTGAGCCGTTTGGGGAACATTCAGCGACCATTAGCATGAGTTCAAAACAGAATGCTAATGAACAGATCTCGCTGCATGTTCACAATGCACGTATAGAAAACTTTCCAAGTCGATAAAAAATTAAAACAATTATTTGCAACTAGTATAAAGTGCTTGACAACTAGTAAATTGACCGGAATGAAGCTTATAAACACAAAGTTATGAATGGCAGGAAAAGTTAGAATGTCGGGATTTAGATGACACACCACGCAATTCTCATGAACGTTGACGCAGGTTTCCTAGTCGATACGCTACGATGGGAACTTGTGTGCACACCGTTCCACGCTATTTCGTCTTCGAATGAAAATGAACTAATAATGGGTTCAAAAAGGCGAACTATTGAAAGCGCGAGCTTAGTGGCAAATAGAGCACGCTACAACTACTGTAGGCACGCCGGCTAACTAGCAGAGCGAAACGCGGTAGATGGCAATGTATTGTCTAAATAAGCTTCCATGTGCTCTCAGTGGCCGCGGTGGCCTCCCTGTGCCGGTTAGCAGCAAATTCTTTTTGACCACAGAAGCATATAAAGCACTTAAATATGATGGCATATTGCCAAGGCATATATTGAATGACTTTAATGCTGGGCCAAAACTGATGACAGTTTGATGAGGGTCTTATGCTTGATGGTCGGAACGATGGACGCAGAAAGATCTACAACTGGTTAAGGGCAAAGGCTTAAAAAATCTGGGGGTTGGTAATAGGAAAAACTGAAAATATAATATTACATGGTTGGGCAAACTAAAATGCGCATCGCTAAAGCGACAGAGGAATGGCGCATAGATCAAGGGTTGTGAGAGTAAGATAGTACCATGCTAAACGAACTAACAAAATGTTCTTTTTGAGAGTGGCTAAAAATAACAAGCAGATTGCCCCCCTCCTGCAAAAACTTGCATGCCTCACTTTGGGCTATAATTTCAAAATGGCTAGTTAGCCAGAATAAACCCAGAATATCAGTTTAGGCAACAAAGTGTAAAGCGTTTAATTCGATATTCAATAGCTTTTGGAAATGGCGAAGTTGTGGGCACAGACGACTGCGTTTGGAAGGAGGTTCTAGGGTTTGTAGCCGTGGAGGGTGAAGTAATTTCGTCAACAAATTAGACCACTTTGTTGTTAACTCAGTTTCAAGTTATTGCCTCTGAGGTTGGTTTTCGGGCTGAGTTTCAGTAGGTGGAGACATACGTGAGTGAGATAGCTCTGTATTTGATAAAATAACGCGAGTTCTCTAGGTAACCGGCAGTAGGGTCCACTGAACACTCCGAGTGTCTTCAATCGTTGTTGATACGGAACGTTGCGCACTGCCTTGACCAATTTTGTTGCTCGACATTTGTGCGTTTCGAGCACTGCAGGGCCAAGCTTTGGCAAAGGATCCCTGACCAGTATTGCGTATTCGACGTGGGGGCGCACCTAGACATTGAGAAACAGAGATATGATGGATGAATGCAAATTCCCGAATACACTCCGCAAAAAACCAATATGCGTGTTACATATTTTTGATGCGAACTCTGACTGTTTGGAACAACCGAATGGAAACCTAAATGAAGGAAAGGTATTTTCTTTAGGCAAGTCGACTGCAGTGCGGTGCAATTTTGAGCTGGTGGTCCCTCTGTTTGATTTTAACTAATTGCAAACAGGTAGCTGCTGGCTTGTT